CCTTCCTTCCTTCCTTCCTTCCTTCCTTCCTTCCTTCCTTCCTTCCTTCCTTCCTTTCTTTCTTTCTTTCTTTCTTTTTCAAGGTCTTGTAGCTTTGTCTGTCCTGGCACTGTATCTAGAACAAGCTGGCCTTGAACTCACAAACTCACAAAGAGTCACCTGCTTCTGCCTGGAATTAAAGGTGTATACTACCATGTTTGGTTTATGACAGAATTTTTAAAGACTAAACTTAAAAAAAAATTCTTGGTTGAATTAATGTATTTTAAATTACAAAATGAAATTAACTTTTATAAATATGAATAGCCCCTTATAATTAAAAGGAAAATTACTCATCTGTACACTTGAATCACTTAACGTTCTTCTTAGATACTTGGCTGGAGAAGAAGTGGGGCCACAACGTGACGGAGTTCCAGCAGCGCTTCGATGGGGTTTTGACTGAAGGCGAAGGCCCTCGGCGGCTGAAGAATTTGTACTTCCTGTACTTGATAGAGTTAAGGGCTCTTTCGAAAGTGCTCCCGTTTTTTGAGCGCCCAGATTTTCAGCTCTTCACGGGAGATAAAGTTCAGGATGCAGAAAACAAAGCGTTACTTTTGGAGATTCTTCATGAAATCAAGTAGGTTCTATATTCTACAATGTATACATTAGCATAGAGGCGAGGGGTGGTGTCCAAAGTAACTGCATTGTTTAGAGTAGGAAACATCTTTAAAATAATATAACTATAGTTCTGTTCATTGGACTTTAGAACTTTTTGGTTTTTTTGAGATGGTTAGATTCTTCTGCTCAGCCTCCTAGGAGCTGGGAAATAGGTGTTTATTGCCATACTTGGCCTTCCCAGATCTTTTCTTGGTTTTACTTTGACCTGTGTATTACAACTTTTTTTTTTTGACACAGTTTGTAATTCTGGCAGTCCTGGAACTTGCTTTGTAGACCAGACTGGCCTTGAACTCAACTGCTCCACCTGCCTCTGCCTCGCAAGGGCTGGGATTAAAGGCACTACCACCTGGGGCTTTGTTTTGTTTAAGTTCTTAATATCAGCATTATTTTTATTTGCACAGTCTAAGTTTGGTGTTAGACTTCTAATACACTTAGCATTTAGATTTGAGGATAAGTATTTGTTTGCATTTTTGGTGTTACTGATTTTTATTCTATTTTAATTATTTATCACTGACCAGTAAAATAGATTAGCATGACTTTCGAGAATTATAATACATGAACATGACCCTTCTCTGTTTAAAACACAGGTCATTTCCTTTGCATTTTGATGAGAACTCATTTTTTGCTGGGGATAAGAATGAAGCACATAAACTAAAGGTAATTGTACTTCAGCTTTATGGCTAGATACAGCCTGCTGAGTATGTGGGTGTGAGTGTAAATCATGTGTTGGGGGAGGCAAATATAGAGGCATTGTGAGAGGCCTCTCACAATGAGAGAGATGCATTGGGACGGGAGCTTGGTCAGAGCACTGGCTTTCCATTGGGGGAAGCTTTAGTGGCCTTTTGCTCACGAGGACGCCTAATAAATAGGCGTGCATTATGTGTTCAGAACTGTGAAGAGTAGAGCTAAAGTTTCACCACAGAAGGGTAAGTCAGGGCATGAACTTGTCACTTCGGTGTTTTTATTGTTCCTTATGAAATAATAAATATCAAGGTATCACAGCACTCCACAAACAACCTGAATATCAATTAAAAAATAAATTTAAAATATAAATAGGTATTTATACTTAATAACAAATCTTTACTTCTAGCTCAGCGGGTTTGGTATATCTGTAGCACTCTTCTCTGTTTCTCATCTCGATGAAAGAAGCTAATTTAATTACCTTGCAAAGAAAGTTCTTTTTGTACATACTGTTGAGATGAGCTGTTCCTGATTGCCACCTCTTTTCTCTTCAGCTTATACCTCAGTGGTTAGTCACACACACACACACACACACACACACACACACACACACACACACACATCGCCCCAGCTTCCAGGGACTGCAGAGTGAGGGGGAAGATACCACAGTAATTCAGCCTGGTCTACAGGGCGAGTTCCAGGACAGCCAGGACTGTTACACAGAGAAACCCTGTTTTGAGAAACAACAACAACAACAACAACAACAAACCCAAACCAAACCAAAACACAGAGTTTGCTGCTGTTTTCAATATGCTACTTATTTCTATTTCGCTTGCTAGTTCCTTGGAGAGTATTTTGACATCAGCTTTTTTTTAGACTGTACAAATTAGACATATTTCTCACAGTGTTTCAGTTTGATCCAAATTCCAAAACATTTGGTTTTTATGTGCTTTGAAGTTTAGGTATAGTTCCTATAGGAAAAAAACTTATAGAAAAATTAAAAACAATTATTGCTGATTTACTTTTAAAAGCTTTCTGTTAAACACAGATGTGAAAATTCTTCATAAATTCATTTTTCTGGGTAGTGGTGCTGCACACCTTTAATCCCAGCACTTGGGAGGAAGAGGCAGGTGGATCTCTGTGAGTTTGAGAGCAGCCTAGTTTACAGGGTGAGTTCCAGGACAGCCAGAGTTATACAGAGAAGCCCTCTCTCGGAAAAACAAATTAAGGTTGTATTATATTAATTACAGAATGCTCGGCCTATAGCTCAGGCTTATTACTAACTAGCTCTTACATTTAAATTAACCCATTTCTATTAGTCTACATTTTGCCCTGTCGTTTTGTGGCTTTACCTGTTCCCTAGCACATATTGCTTCCCTGGTGGCTGGCTCGTGTCTCTCCTGCCCTTCTTTCTCCCCGTATCTCCATTTTGTTTTCCCACCTGTCTTTATTCTGCCTTGCTGTAGGCCAAAACAACTTCCTTACTAACCAACGACACATATGCATACATACAGAAGGATTATTTCACAGCAATAATTTAATAATTATTAGTGTTTGGAGCAGAATAGGGTCTGAAGGTTTATAAATCACTTGAGAATTTTGGCAAGAACCGGTCAGTTGACTTTGATCATTCTGCCAAATGACCATAATACATAATGAGAAACTGGGTGTGCCAGTGTTCATCTGTAGTCCTGACTGGCTGGAAGGTGAGCAAGGAGACAGTTGGAGTTCAGATATCCAATGCCTGATTCTCGTCTTAATAATTTAATTTCTGATTATTTTAAGGATTGCATATTTTTCTGATTAGAGATAATTTTTATAATGCATACAGTGTTCTGTCTGCATGTATGCCTACATGCCAGAAGAAGGCACCAGACCTCATTACAGATGGTTGTGAGCCACCATGTGGTTGCTGGGAATTGAACTCAGGACCTCTGGAAGAACAGTCAGTGCTCTTAACCACTGAGCCATCTCTCCAGTCCTGATCTGAGATAATTTTGGGATATATCCCAATTATTAGACATTGTGTTGTTTCTGGAAATTACAAGGATTTTCTCCTAATCTAGTTAATCTCTAGCATCTTGAGTTTACCTAGGTAGGAGATACACTATTTTATATGGTTGACTTTAATTTTACTATGTTACCTAGGTATGCTAAGCAACCATACATACTCTCTGTACCTATCATGCAAAGATTCACTCAAGAAACGCTGTGTTCAGATACTTGAATTACATTGACTCCAACAATGAACTTAGAGAAAGCAAGCATAATCTTTTACAATAGAGGCTGTGGCTTTGCAAGTCAAAAACTTTCAAGCCATTTTTACACAAGTCTGTTTTTCATTTCTTTTGGTTGTGAAAATGTAATTGATAAAAAACCCACTTTGCATTTAGTAACATTCTTTAAGTAAATTGTGTGATTCTGGCCCATCACACTTACATCCGTTTGGATGTTTAGGAGCATCTCTGTGACTACTCATTTTCTCTCTAGATTAACTTGTCTGCAGCTGTATTCTGTAGACCTTTGGAACAGATACTAATTGTCAGTAGTACCTCAGGGAGGAGTTGGGCGTTAGAAGCTAGTAGTTCTGGGCTGGTGAGAATGCTCAGTGGTGAAAGGCAGTTGCAGCCAAGCCTGGTGACCTGAGTTCAATCCCCAACTTCCTGCAAGCTGTCATCTGACTTACACATGTATATACATAAACACATGCACATACACACAGAGTGGGTGGAGGGAGTGAATAAAAATTAGTTTTGGAAAAAAATTTAAAACTACTGATAGCTTGGGATTCCACTCCTGTTTGTTTTTTGTTTTTGTTTTTGTTTTTGTTTTTGTTTTTGTTTTTGAAGACAGTGTTTCTCTGTGTAACAGCCCTGACTGTCCTGGAACTAGCTCTTGTAGACCAGTTTGGCCTTAGACACAGAGATCTTGCTGTTTCTGCCTCCCGAGTGCTGGGATTAAAGGCGTGCGCCACCACTGCCCAGCGGAATTTCACTCTTAAAATCAGGACAAAGTCACTTGGAGGATCTGTTATTAATTTTGACTCAAGTAAAAGAAGATGCCCTTGGTTCCCTTTTCGCCATACCTTAAGGACATAAACTGTGTTTAGATGATTGGATGCTTGATGCTTTATTACAAACAGTGTAACACCCTGATGTTAAAAACAGAAATGGAACAACATCCCAAAATCCAGCATAGTAGTAGAGGATAGGTACAGAAATGTGGGATGATATGTTTGGAGTTTCAATTATATTAGTAATGATTTCTTTTAAAATTTGGTGGTGCAGGGGCTGGAGAGGTGGCTCAGTGGTTAAGAGCATTGCCTGCTCTTCCAAAGGTCCTGAGTTCAATTCCCGGCAACCATATGGTGGCTCACATATAATGAGTTTTGGTGCCCTCTTCTGGCCTGCAGACATACATACAGACAGAATATTGTATACACAATAAATAAACAAATAAATAAATAAATAAATAAATAAATTTTTTAGAAAAGAATTTGGTGGTGCATACATGGCTATTAATTACATTTTGTTTATCAGTACTATCAGTAGTAAAAAAAGAAAAAAGATCTGAGTGTTTCCCCTAATTCCAGGAAAGGAGAACTATAATTTAACATTATCAGAGGTCACCATCCTCCTTCCTCTCTTCCTTTCTTTTGTTAGATAACTGTCTAATCCCACAATTTCCAATATTGACATATAAACTAAATACTTAAGTGATTGTTTTTTTGTTTTTGTTTTTTGTTTGTTTTTTTTGAGGGGGGTAACATGGATTTGGAGTGAGATAGGGCTGCTTTCAAAATATACAGGTTGCTAGGGGAGTGAATTTAAGCCTGCTAACAGTCTGAGTCTTTTAAAGAAATTCATGAAGGGTAGATCAGAGTAGTTTTGGATTTGTGGGAAGATTCAATACTAAGAAGGACTCTGGTGTGTAGTAGAGGCTCCGTGTGCGCTGCTCTGTTTGGTGCTCTTTAGTTCACTGTCCATGGTTAGACACATGGAAAGCACACAGAAAACAATTCTTAGTTGATTACATAAGTATACAACTTACATAGAATTATGTTAAATTGTTTTCAGGAGGACTTCCGACAACATTTTAGAAATATTTCGAGAATCATGGATTGTGTTGGTTGTTTCAAGTGTCGACTGTGGGGAAAGCTCCAGGTGAGTCTTGCTTAGTCGTCTTCTTCACTCTTTGTTGAAATGTTTTCTTATTTGTTTTCTTCTTTCTGTTTTAGACTCAGGGTTTGGGCACTGCTCTGAAGATCTTGTTTTCCGAGAAACTGATAGCAAATATGCCAGAAAGTGGACCAAGTTATGAATTCCAGCTGACCCGACAGGAAATAGTCTCATTGTTTAATGCATTTGGAAGGTTAGTTTTAATGTACTGAAATTGTTTCTGCTAGCCATCTAAGTCTGATGTTAATAGGTACATTTTCAGATAAAACTAGGGATGTTCTTTTCAGTAAAATTATCTTGTTATACAATCATATGATCTGGGGCTGGAGAGATGGCTCAGTGGTTAAGAGCATTGCCTGCTCTTCCAAAAGGTCCTGAGTTCAATTCCCGGCAACCACATGGTGGCTCACAACCATATGTAATGAGGTCTGGTGCCCTCTTCTGGCCTGCAGACATACACACAGACAGAATATTGTACACATATTAAATAAATAAATAAATATTAAAAAAAACAGTCATATGATCTGATAAAATACCTTAAGAATATACACACATACGATTACTACTTCATTATTTCCATCTATTGTTTATATTCCTATTTATTGACATTTGGGTACTGTTAAATTTGTACATTTTATTGTAATTATTTTGTATGTTTGTACATACGTACATGGTATTTTGTTTTGTTCTGTTTTGAGGTGTGATCTCACTATGTAGACCAGGTTGGGCTTGAACACAGAGATCTGCCAGCCTCTATCTTCCTCCTGGGATTACAGACATGTGTCATCAGATGTAGCTTATTGTAATTATTTAAAAGCATTTTATTGGTATTATTTTTGAAGGGTATGAAAAGTTACAAATATTTCTATGAACTCAGCATCATACAGAAAGATTAGTAATTCTTCAGAAATAATTATTTTCTGTCAGATGTTTTGAGAAACAGCATGAGAAATGGAAGATACATCAACAGTTTGAAATGTGGGTGGCATTTCCTGCTGGTTCCTGTTGATTCTCGGATTGACAAACCTCTCTTCTTTCTTCAGTGCTGGGGATATAGCCCTAGCATGCTAGGCAGCATTCTCTCATCCCCTCAATTAATGTTTTTTTTTCTTTTGTTTGTTTGTTTTTTTGAAACAGGGTTTTTCTGTAGTTTTGTAGCCTGTCCTGGGACTAGCTCTTATAGACCAAGCTGGCCTTGAACTCACAGAGATCTGCCTGCCTCTGCCTCCTGAGTGCTGGGTTTAAATGTGTGAGCCACCACTGCCCAGCTTCAATTAACATTTTTAAGGGCTGCATTTTTTTCACTTAAAAATAATATCAGCCAGGCGGGAGGCAGAGGCAGGTGGATCTCTGTGAGTTCAAGGCCAGCCTGGTCTACAAGAGCTAATTCCAGGACAGGATCCAAAGCTACAGAGAAACCCTGTCTTGAAAAACCACAAATTAAATAAAATAAAATAAATCAAATGTTTTAGGATTGAAATAATTGGTTTTAAATTATTAGGAGCTCGAGTGTACAATTTAATTGTGTGTTCTACTTTATCACAGTGGAGAGCAGAGCTGAAGTGCGTGTCAGAGGGAACATGCACAAACATAATACAGAACAGATTTTACTAAATATGAACATTGGTGAAAACATTTGGGTCAAAATTGACTTTTCTCAGTCTTTATTATAAAGATCAATAGCTTTGATTTTTGTACATTTAGTAGTAAATAAAGGTATATTATTTATTGTATTCTTATGCTTATGGATATTTAAATACTTATTTTAATGTTTCTACATTTCCATATTTATATTATGCCTGTGATACAAATAACATTATAATGTATACAAATACATTAATGAATATCTAAAATATCTAAGTATTTTGTATTTATATACTTAAGTATTACATACTAAATACTGATGTGCTTCAAATACTTTAATGTAGCTCTGGATATTTAAAATATACATCTATGTAATTTTATATGTATATATTTTAATACTTCAGTATTAAAAGTTAGCTTGTATTTTGATAATATTATCTTAGGTTTGCTTAGGATTTAAGTAGATTTATATACCTTTCAAATGATTGAAATAAACTATTTTAAACTTTTTATATGCTCTAAAAATGAAAAATCACAGAAAATTTTTGAAAGTGTTCTTAAGTGAAGTGTTTCTTGGTTGCAGGATTTCTACAAGCGTGAGAGAATTAGAGAACTTCAGGCACTTGTTGCAGAATGTTCACTGAGGAGGACAGGTTGGAACGCGCCTGTTTCTGGACATGGGAGGCCAAAGAGCTGAATCTCTCCGAGCAGCATGACTGCAGTGGCCTCTCAAGCCAAATGTTTCTATAAAGCTGCTTTTGTAAAAGGAGAAATACATTGTTTTAAGTAAATGACATTTTTAAAAATTGTGTTCATGTTTAATATTATTGTGAATAAAAGTATTTTGATAATGTACAAATTTTAGTACTAGATAAAGGTAAGATCACCAAATTCCCGTAAAATAAAAATAGGTGAATGATGTCTTTAGCCTCTCGAACTAGAGTTATATTTAAGAAGATGTGATAAAAATAAAGCTAAGGTAGCTGTGACAAGTGTTTGTAAAATTCTAAGAGGCTCACCAATAACCCATGGTCATCAGCCTAAAAACACGATGAATTTTCATTTGCCTCATTTGCAAAGAAAATACTGAATTCCCAGTTAGATTTGAATTTTAGACAAGCAACTAGTTTTCTCTTAAGTGTAAGTATGTTGTATGCAGTATTAGGGCCGTATTTATACTAAAGGTAATTAATTTGTTTTAAGTTCGGGTTTAACTGGGAGGCCTGTGTTTTCCTGGCAACCCTAAAATACACTGGTATGAAACATTCCTTTTAGAGTTATATAGCTATTTTGATTGTCCATAGGGAAGTAGAACAACTCAAAGGCACAGGAGATTTCTAAACGTTATAGAAAGATGAATAGATTATATATTTATTCTCATAATACTTCCCCTAATAGTAAATTTTGGGGAAAACTTTATTTTTATATAATTTCAGATTTACAGAAAAGTTTCAAAAACAGTACAAAAAAAAATGTTTTACTCAAATTGATAGTTCACATATGTTGTGACTGCTCATCCCGTCTCACACTGGGGACTGAGTCCAGGACCTCAGGCGTGCTAGGCTAGCCCTCCACACCCCCCTCCCCTCAGCTGTGTCCTCAGGCCATGCTTTATCTTCTGTGTAGACATAGATATCCTGTTTTTTATTTATTGTTTGAGAACTAGTCATGGACATCATGTGTTAATCCAAAATACTTCCATGTGATGTGCAGTTATTTCCTAAAAATGATATTTTTTTGTTTTTATAGGGAAATACCAAACCTTACAAATCTTCGCTAAACTAGTAGAAGCCTTAAAATAAATATATCATGTCCTAATCACCTAAAGTTTGAGTGTTGTTGCCTTTTTTGACCCATGTAATCAAAAGATATATAATTCATGCTTTTAATACATGAAACTGATTTCTTTTGCCTCCATAAAATGGAACTATAATTTTGATAGGTTTTCATTAGTGGAAGCTTTTCATTGAGAACAATATTTGAAGTGGCTTAAGAATTTACATCACATAGCAATTATAAATACTGTATACCTCAAAATTATGCCCCTTTTATATCATATATAATGTCTGACCAGTTAGGATAGGTTGAGATGTCTCTTAAGAGAAGCAAGATTTATATATGTATGGTTAGAATGTCACTTTACACTGCTTGTATCTTCTCTGTCTCTGAGACTTGGTTCAGTGCCAGGCATATAGTTGGTGTCTAGTATTCGTTGATTGAATGTGTAGGTATGTATTTAGTACACTTTAAATGAATGATCATATAACTATGTTTAGCAATGTGTCCTATTTCCTTTCTCATTTTTTCCCCTTTCTTTTGAATAGGGAAGCAAATGAAAGTCTATTTTCTTGGGGACTTGTAGTGCTAAGTGATCACCATATACAAGGGTATTTCATCGCCCATTCTTGTCCTTAGTGCTTCCACTTACTGCCTCCCACTTGATTTGCCCTGTGAACTCTGTCCTTCCAAATGATGTCTAACAACTTACTTCTAAGTCTACAATTAACAAGCCATTTCTTAATTTGAACTTCCTGCACTTGACCCTCTTGACAATCCCTTCCTTGAAGTCCCAGTAACTATGTATCCTTGTATAGGGTTTGTTCCTGGATGTCTTTCCTCTGGTCCCCTCATTTAACCTAAATGTCACACCTCAGACTTCTTTTTCTCAGTCACTGTGCTTCACTCTTGGGTGCTTTCCATCCAGTGATGCCCAACAGATTTTAGCTCAGACTTCTCAGTCCCTTTTCCTACTGGACTCACTTGTTATCCCATCCTCTCTTCTGAAACACACAAACCTACTGTGTGTCTGTTACTTATTTGGTTAACTTCAGAACCATTGTTCCATACAAAGCTTCCAGCTCATTCCTCTTCCTCCTGTTGTTGTCTTGAGTTCTGCTGATTTTTTTTCCCACCTTTCATTCTCTTTCATTTTTGTTACTGTTATCCAGTGAACTAACAAAGTCTGTTTCCTCATCTCTGTTGGTCCATATTACCAGATTCCGCTTTCTAGAAGCATTCACTTCTGGGCAATTTTCTGAGCTTTGTGGTGAGAGCCTTTCCTTGGTGTTCAAGCGCATCTTCTTGTCTTTGCCACTCTGTTTTGATAAAAGTGTTAAAGGTTTTCAAAAGTCCAGAGTTGGATCTTGCTCCAAACCTTGGTAGACACCATATTTGCATTGAGAAACCCAGGCTTCTTTCAAACCTGGGAAATTTCATGCATTCTTGAAATTCTCTTTGAAACTACACCTGTCCCCTCCCTGTGGTCACCACTGTAATTGCAACCTACCTCTACTGAATCACTTAATGTACTGTGTGTTTTATTTTTTTTTTTTAAGTGTCCTTTACTAGAATGTGAGCTCCTTAGGGGCAGGAAAATAAACTATTAATTTTGGCATCTCTATAGCATAGTGTTTGGCATATGAGCATTTAGTAAATGTTTGTTGAGTTAACTGCTTCACAGTGACAGCTGTACCTCACTGTCTTTGCTTACAGCAAGGATCAGTAGACTTCAGGGTAGCAATAAAGATGAAGATAATTTAACCTCCGGTGTGTCTTTGGTCGTTCATGAATGGTGTCTACTTTGGAACAAGTTTGAGGGAGGAGGCGACATCATAGGAGCTTCTTGATGAAAGGATAGCTGGGATTGTAGACTAGACGAACGAACTGTAAGATTCGCAGGAGGGAGATGTGACTATTTCGTGAGGATTTTTCTTAGCATTTGAATAAATGTCTACCTAATAACACTATCATTTAAGAACATGGTACCTTATTTCAAACAGTCAGAAATATGTGCTGTGATCCAGATGTATTCATCATTCACTAAAAGCAAATTCCATTTGTAGTGAGATTTTTGAAAGAAGGGATATTAAGAAAACACGCCTCCAAATAAAAGCACATTCATTAACAGTAGTGTTTTATTATACTTTAGTGAAACAACAAATACATTCATTGGCCACAGCTATACCTTTGCAGCCAGTTTGAAACTGACTGTATAGCTGAGAAACACCATTAAACAATAAAAAGGCTATTACGCATAAAAAAGCCACTTCAGCTATAAATTACATTGTCCATAAAACTACAGTCAGCTACAATAGGTGGTTAAGAGTTTCAAAATTAATAGCAACCTAAATGAAATAAACAATAAGGACAAATATTTTTAAGCACTGTAGAATTATACACTTAAGCAATGAATTTCGACTTTCTAATCAATGATTGTGAGGAAGGGCTGGGGTTGTCATGTGCTTCAGGGCAGGTGGACAGGAACTGTAGCCCTTTAACCTTATGAACAGCTCCCTCTGAGAACAGACTTAAAGTGCTGCTAGTGCTTTTGAATTTTTAAGCAAACGGGTAGATTTCTTCTTTGGTGATATACTGTGAGATGTATAGGAGACAAATGTTAAGAATTTAGGTGCTTTATAGGCCAGGTGTGGTGGCGCAAACCTTTAATCCCAGCACTTAGAAGGTTGAGGCGGATGATCTCTGAGTTCAAGGCCAGCCTGGTCTACACAGTGAGTTCCAGGACAGCCAGGACTACGCAGAGAGACTCTGGGGGAAAAAAAAAAAGCCTGGTCTACAAGAGCTAGTTCTAGGACAGGCTCCAAAGCTACAGAGAAACCCTGTCTCAAAAAAAAAAAAATAAAAAATAGAATTTAGGTACTTGAATCAGTGATAAATACAACTAATATAACTAATAAATCTCAAATTCAGCATAATCAACCAGTGCAGCAAAAAGAATTGAGATTCTTTATCTGAAGAGTTTATGTAATCTTTGTTTACTTTGTCAACCAGGATGTTTGTGTAGAGAAGCTTAACTAGAAAAAATTATCAAACAAAAACAATAGAGTTAGATACCTAACATCACCAAAATAAACAACTGGTATTCTGAAAAATCGAAAAACTGAAAAGAAATCCACAGTTGTAGACTATGGTTAGGTTGTTGTCATCATAGTACCAAGGCTAACTTCTGTACTATAAAAGTTGAAATCATTTGTTACAGTAAGAACTTACAAACAAATGCTGTGTATAAGTATGCTTCTGATTGAATTTAAAATCGGTTGTTCATAAAAAGAAGAAAAGTATTTGGCTTTGTACCATCCTCTCAAAAGATAGAAAGGATTAACAATGTTTTTAAAGATTCATATATATTTTTGTGAAGTTGCTGCATTAGTTGTTAAAAAGCTGAAGGATTTTAGGTATGAGTACAAATAAGACAGTTTCTAGTCAGTAGACAGAAGAGGGCAGCTGTGTTTGCCCAGTTCCAAAGCAGCTGGTAGATCCTGTGTGGGGTCATCTTTACCTGCGTGAAACCTATGCTGCCTGTCCCCTTGGAATCTGAGGTATTCAGCATCTGCTTTCCATAGAAACACAGGTAGAAAGTGCATTTTAAAATTGTGTTGTCTTTGCCTACTGTTGTGTGTGTGTGTGGGCTTGAGTGCACTCAAGCATACTGCTTACAGTAGCATATTTAAAACAGTTTTAATGAAGTCCTACACTATCCCAGTGTTAACCTCTACACTTCCCTTGTTTGCTTATTAATCCAGTACTGGAATTGATTGGAATTAATTTAACTTGGCTTAGCCCATATACAAGGTATAAAATGTGAAAAATAAAGGCGGGATTACACATTTTATAAAGTATTGCACTTTAGCTCACTGCAAAATGTCTCATGATTTAATTTACCTGAGGACAATCATGACTCAGTAGGTGGGATTTGCTGCATCTCCTTTCAGATAAATTGAATACTTTTTGAAAACATACTGTTTTAACTGAGCACTTTTTAAAATGAACAATCCCTAAATGCATCTGTAAACTTTTGTTTGTTAGTCCCAAGAAGTTCTACTGAAACCCCCTATGCAAAAGTCACTATTGCTTCTGGAAGAATCATGCTTAAACTGCTACTTACCTTAGTCATACAGAATAGCCACTTGACCAGTCCTACTCAAAGCCACAGTCTCCACTGGCTCACTGTTAAGAACACTACCAGCCAGCAGCACCATGAAGGGTTTCTACTATCACTTGTTTAAAAATAATGGAGTAATTTTCAATCAAAACTGTTTTCAAAACATGCTTTAAAAAACTGTCTTCAATGTTACATGTTTTTAAAAAGAATGATACATTTTTAAGCCTTAACTCTGTGCACTGATCACACTCTAGAGCTGCAGTTGGGTAGGATTCCATGGAGAGTACACCTCTGAATTTCTAGGTTTTGATTTTTTGTGGAAAAACTGCCTTCTGAACTGGTGTACAATAATATTCTGGTGTGAATACTCAATACTCGAGCGTGGCTTTGGGGACTGCAAAGTATCCTTTCTGAACACAGGTAAAAGTGCAAATATGCAAATGTGCGTTGTACACTCAAAAGTTAGGAGGTTCTGAGGTCATCAAGTACCTTAGCATCTAATCTCTCTTTCTCCTCCGAACTTCGAATTTCACTATGCAGAGGTCAAAACAAACAGCTGTGTTTTGAGGTTCTCCACGAAACACAGCTGGATTTCCAGATTTTGCTAGTTGCAATAGATGATGCAATGTTGATGTAGATGCTTTTAAAGATGTCGAGTACACATACACATTCATGAAAACAGTTCAAGATGCCTGCTGCGGAAAAGCCCTCAGTTCTGTGGAGTCACATAGAATCGATGATGACTCCTCATATCCAGGTTACTGCATGTGAAGAGCAAGGGAGCAGTGTCTGTCACAGGGCCATTCAGCGGCGGGGTGACTGTGTACGTGCCGCTGCCACACCCAGTCATGGTGCCATACCAGCCCAAACTTTGCGAGTTTGATAAGCTGCAAAGAAGCCAGAGGGCTGTGATTAGAAGAAGTCACACTGGCATTTTTAACATTTCCAAAGAATATATATTTAAATATGCAAAACACAGGCTTTCTACACAATTTAATGACTTCTATCGGATATCTCTGACACATATCACGGAAGAGAGAGAATGCACCTGACAGTAATAATATGCTCTATGTGCTATGCTTTGCTCCAACACATCTGTATGTATGTATGTATGTATGTATGTATCCTTTTAATCCTCATCTCAAGACCACGAAACAGGTTGTGTTACCATCCTACTTCACAGATGACATACAGGACTTGTCCAGGTGAAGTTAGAGTTACTGAGAAGGGATCAAGCTGGAAGAGTCCTGTTGGTGTATGATAAGGCTTTCTTTTTGATGGTTTTGAACTATGAGGGCGCAGGAAGCCTTTTCTTTTCTGACCTGGAACCGCACCAGGAACAAGGAAGCAAATATACAGTGTGCAGCAACCCTTCCCTGCCCAATACTACATGCTTTCACTTTGACCAAGGACGGTGAGATGATATGATCCCACTTTACTCCAACACTTTTTAAGAAAGGGTGATATACTGGCTTCAGATCAGCTGACAGTTGTTTACAGAGCATGTTGTACCATATGGTTAAGCCCCAATAGGTTAAGCAGTTCAGGATCATATTTATTGACATGTTCTGCCAAATCACCTGTTTAATGGGTGGTTTAAAGCGCGGAGTTGTTTTTGCAAACTATTTCAATACTAATCCAGCCTAAGGGACTAGTTACATCTACCTTCCTTCTCGTGAGCTCCCCAGTCTTGGCAAGTCGTCATCACTGTCATACCGTCTTGGATTGTCGAAAAAGAAAGCTCTGGAGCTGTAGCTGCGGCTGCTCACCATGCCAGCCGGTGCCTGTGGACACAGCGTTAGAGACCGGGTGAAGGCCGGAGACGAGAGTCTGTGAGTTTTAGTCTCAGACTTACTAAAAGCAGAAACTCAGGATAAATATTCAATGCTTTAAAAAAATGAGATTGAGCATGGGGGATATTATGATATCTTACCAGATTCTGGTTCAATCTCTGTGCCCGGAAAAACAGTACTACTGACCATGCTGGTACGTGTTCCCACAGAAAGAGGACCATTCCAAAGACGATGTAGTCGCCTCCATTTCCATCTTCTCCATGAGCCTGTCCACAGAGCATGGCAGAGCAATTTTCACACTGGTTTTATATTTAAGCAATCACCTGCCACAAGTGCTTCAGGCTGGGTGAGTTAACATATATTAAGTATAATCACGAAAGTGCTGAACTTCCCTGTATTTTGTTTTTTTGTGACTTCTCATGTAATGATATTTTTCCTTCAAGGAACATAACAGTACTTTTTTTTAAAAAAAATTACAACAAGACAATTAAATTTTTTTCAATGCATTAGCTTAGAAAAATAATTTTAGTCCTTGGATAATGCAGAATGATGTCATTTGAGGCACCATAGTCTGAAGAGGGTTAGTTATAAAGGTTCACTGTTCCAGCTGCCCCACTGGCACAATAGCACCGCGAGTTAGGCCTGCAGAAAAACGAGACGTGCTAAGTAAATCAGCACGACTGATTTTTTTAAATACACTTTGGGGCTACTCTACATATTGAATTTGTTTCTCTTCCACCAGACGCCGGTAGAGGGGAAGCAGGAAAAGAAGTGAAGAGAATCTGCCACATAGAATCAAATGCGAGAAGTCCATCTCCTTAGTTAGCGAGAGAGATAGTCTTCTAGAA